CCCCGCCCCCCCCGCGGCGGCAGCCGCCCCCCCGCGGCCAGCCGCGGGAGCGCGTGCGGGCACCTCGGCTGGCCCCAGGCCTCCCACCCGCAAGCCCGCCTTCGCCGCGGCAGCCTCGCTTCGGTCGCTCGGGAGGCGGGTTGCAGCGCAGGATGCGTGCTGCGAGGCCACCCGAGGACAGGCGAGGCTGGCACAGATGGCAGAAGGCGGGGCAGGGCGGGGCGGGGCGGCGGCTTCCCCTTCGCCCGCCCAACGAGACAGCCGGTCTGCGCGCCGCTCTGGAGAACGTGGGTACGTGTGCGCACGTGCACCCCCGACCTTTCCGTGTAGCAGGCTGTGGCTAAGGTCCTGGGAGGCTTACTAGGAGGGGAAACAAGGCCCTGAGGGCTGGGCGTGGGGTTAGGGTTGAGCTGGGGTGCCAACCGACTTCATCCGGGTTTGTTCAGGGAACAATGGCTAAGTCGGCCTGAGAGGGGGGACCCCTCCCCCGTTTCGTTGGAAGGCTCCAGGGTCAAGCCCCTCCCCACTGGAAACGACGGGGGGGGCTTATTCTCGAGGCAGCGTGTTTGGGGCTGGGCGTGCTTTCATTTCCCGTATAAGAGGGGAGGAGCGCCGTGCCGCGCCGCGCCGCGCCGCGGGACAACCCATACGGCTCTGGTTGCTCGGCAGGCGGGCAGACCCGACGCGAGAGGTACGTCTTTGTCAAAGTCTCCCTAGGTTGCACGGGCGTAGACCCCCAGCTTTGAGAATACGCGGGTTCGCTTTACTTGCTGGGGCTGCGCGAATCCAAAAGGACGTGGGGCCCCGCCACTTCTAAAATGGCCGTTCACACGTTCTAAGAAACCCTCTCGGCGGGTTCCGTTCCGTTCGGAAGTCGCCGCGTTCTCGGGAGACCGCGTCGAGGCTGCAAACCTCCGAACGGCCGCTGGGGGGCAGCAGAACCCAGCTGGGTAGCCCCAGCGAGCTCGCAGCAGCGCGGGGGCGTGACTGCCCACGGCCGCCACTCAGCTCTCTGATCGCCTTCTCACGCCTCTCGCTGCAGCCAATGGCTGCGCATTCCAGGGGCGGAGCCACGCTTCTTTTGAAGCCTCGCTTTGCCTCGCTGTTTTGACCAGCCGCTTCTTGTGAGCGCCGCAAACCAGGATGTTACTAATCGTACGCGGGTTTTATCTTTTCGGCGGAGGTTTCAGTATGCAGGAAGTCAGCAGGTGAAAACCTTTATCGCCTGGAGAGAAATACTGGGTGGGTGGGTTGGTTTTGGTTTTTAAGCGTGGGTTATTTCTTTATCTGTTGTGTTTCTCCGTAGACTTTGAAAGGGAGTGCCGTGTAAACATGATCAGCCATTAGTTGCTGCAGATCGGATCGACGCTGGTCCAGAAACGGAGCTGGGTTCAAGAGTTACAAAGTATTTACAAGGTGGAGACTCTCAAGTTGAATGCTTAGGTCCGAGCCTGCCATTTTTGTTGCCAAGGAATTTGATTTATTAATATTATTGCTATTAAACTGTGTGCCTCTTAGAGGGGCAACAGCAAGTCTGGTGCGGCAGAGAAGATTTTTTAAAAGGAGGCTTGGCATTCCATTTTCCTTTTTCAAAAAAAATAATTTTTATTGAAGCCTTTCAACAGAATTAAAAACAGTGCAAATTTTGAATGAAGGAAGAATAAAGAAAATGTCATAAAAAGTGAAAAAGAAATATAGAAAAAGAAATGGAAAAGAAAAGAAAGATTCTAATGAATCTTCCAACATTTTCCGAAGTTGTAAAATTTGAAGGTAGCAGGGCATTTGCTACAGTTTTTTTTTTCTCTCTCTCTTGCACATGCTGGGAATAGATTTACAAAGTGGTCGTTCTTATAGGGTGTAAGTTTAGGAGAGGAACAGTTCTCTGTATATTTGTTAACGTGTCATGGAGTAAGGAGCACTGTATGTTCCAGAACTGTGCGTGCATCACATGTGATTTAAAACAAGTGGTTTGGAGCGTGTGTGGGTGCAGCAGCTCTGTGCTATTTATGAAAACAGGCAGGTCTGTTTGGGAGCTTCCACCGGGCCCTGAAAAAAGCAGCTGCTTTAATGACCCAGCTCATTAAAGTATCACATCTTTAATGTGATTCTTATTGCAGCTTGCTACATAACGTTTTAAAGGCTTGTATAAAAGGTCAGTCCCTGAGACGTTCCCAATTATTAGTGTTACATTCTCTTGGGTTCTCTTTTTGCTGGCTGACCTTTTTGACCATGCAAACATAGTCAATACACTTCTAACAACATCACAGAAGTAAAGTCAACGAACCCCAACCCTCAGCCAAAAACACTGTTATCAGGTTCTAAAATAACATTCCCGCTGCTGACCTGTTACTCAAACAGCACGAAGTTTAGTTTGATGTGCCCGTATGTGTAACAAAATGCGATGTCTTATTAACTTGACTTAGGTACATTTTAGGTTCTCCTTTTGCTGAGCTGGGCTGAGCACCAGTGGTGTTCAGCTGCACGTTGTATTTTTTGCTGAGGTTGTGAAGCGGTTATGGGAAGGGAATGACAGGGGTGTAGTTGTAGGGTGGGAAGTTGAGGTTTGCAGCAAGGTAACAGAGGGAGGCTTTAATATTCAGGTTTAAAACAAGTGTTTGTATAACACATTCTGCAGCTGATCCAAGCTGTAAGCCGAGGAAAAGGGACTTCAGCATGATATGGAAAACCCACCCTGGAAGGCAGTTTTTAATTTGTGGCATGTGCTGTCATATTTTTGTCATATTTTGTCATATTTTGTGCATTGTAGTGGCATCCTTTTTCTATGCAAACAGCACAGTCCTTGTCTATGGATAGCAAACAGTATCAAATGGTCAGAAATACAGGTAGTCCCCAGTTTAAGAACGAGTTCCGTTCCCAAGATCTGTCCTTAAATCGAATTTGTATGTAACCCAGAACAGTATTATTGCATACAATAAGTAGTATTGTGTAATTAACTCAAACCATTGCATATTTAATTTGAATCATTGTGCATTTAATTTGAATTTTGCTACAGGAGGCTCCGTTCTTAACTATGGGTCGTCCATAAACTGGGCGTTCTTAACCTGGGGACTACCTGTATATTGTGAATACATTAGAATTTATAGTTGAGTACGTTAGACTTTATAGTTAAGAGGGAATAATGGCCTTGTTTTGCCAGCCCTGACAATTAACATGTTTCTGTCTTTTTTAAAAAAAATCTTATTACATTGATTTTTCAACAGGTCTTTGTGAAGGACATCTGCCCTGCTAATACTTGGAAAGAGCAAAAACATGAATGATTAACAAGGTAAATAACTTTGAAATGTTTCATAATTCCTTCTTGCATTTTTGTTTGGTTTGTTTCTATAAATAGAAGAAACTGTATGGATTGTAATTGGGAAGAACGGAGTGCAGTGGAAGGGAAGAAGCCAGTCTGTGTGAAAAAGAAAGCCATAAAAACAAACAAATGTGATTTGAAAAACCTGGCAGGTTTTCTAGTGCAAACAAATGGAAGATGGCAGAAACTCATCAAGAAAGTGGAAGCAATTGTTGTAACGGTGAAAAGGAAACTTCACAACTTCTGTTTTTCACGAGAAAGTGGAGAATGAATCTTGCCAGTATTATATACAGATTAAATGTATAATCACTAAGAATACCATGGGCTGCAAGACAAACTAGTCAGTCCTGAACTAAGTAAAGACAGGTTGAGTTTTTGATTAGCAGACAGAAATTTGCATATTTTAGACATGTGGTGCAAGTGGATGACTAGAAAAAATATTTTATACATCATAAGATTCATGCAAGGAACAAAAGGGGAAGATAACAGTGGATGGATAACACATGTTTGTCCATGCAATGACCAGGTATCAAGTCCAGCTCAGTGCCAACTAAAACCTAGATTACAAGCACAGACATTGCCAAGAGTATGATGAGATGCAAATGTGGTGTTTTTGCTTTTAAATTAATAGGTCTTCCCATTTTAACTTATAAACCATGATTTATAGCCTAGCAAGTTCTTATAAATTTGGGCAGTTGTGGGTTACTCCATAAACATGGATTGGCATACTGTATTGATGCAGCTATAATCTTGGGGTAAAGAGTCAGAAATGTTTATGAGACGTTAGCTCCATTACACGTGTAAAAAAGCACACACAGAGGTGGTGCCAAGTGACGAAACAGCCCAAGGCTTCTGTATGAATGTTATCTGAGCTCATTCACTGCCTTTTCTTCCTCCACACTTCTCAAGCAGAAGTTGTCTCGCACCCAAATTGCCCCACTTGCGAAACAAGAGCTGGAGCTCTTCTTTTGAGACTGGAAGGGGCCAGAAACCGACAGCTAACATTACTCCCTATTATCTATGTTACTTATACATTATTTGTATCGTGCCATTTAGGATAGCTATCCTTCCAAAGTGATTTGCAAGCAGTATAAATAATGGTCAGTTATTTATACTGCTTGCGAATGGCAATGACTGTTATTGAATATTATTGCTTGCAAAATGCAATGAATATTGAAAAAATCAATGGATGAACGACAGCACCTTTGCTACTTGGGCAGCTGGCGATTGTTGTGATGGTGGGGGAGGGCCAGGAGAGAGAAGAATCTGGTTGAGCAGGTTTGTTGTCTTCCTGCTTCTCTCTTCTGGGATCCTTCAAGATAATAGATCTTGGGTGGAGGTGGATGGAGCAGCGTGCCTTTCTGCCTCTATTTTGCATCAAGTTTGGGCAAAGCTACCTTGGGTTGCAGAATTAAAATTGGGGATTAGTTGTACATCTCGTGAGTGGTGTATTTACATAACGTGGATTTGCACATCACGAGCTGCTAAGAAGACACAGTACTTTATCTGAACCCAACCCTGAAATTGGAAGCAGCCTTATGTTGATTTGTACTGTTGATTCCTCCAGCCCATTTTACGATGTGGGTTGAGTTTACTAATTGTACTAACCCACATCGGGTGTCAAGTTCCCATGACATGGGAGGAACTTGTAGAGGAATTTAGCTCTGGCCTTGAGTAGGACTAGGATGAAGGAGAGGAAAGACAGTTACTCAGCCTTGGGAAAGTGTGAGAAAGAGACTATATTGTCCTTCAGAAGGGGTGGTGAAAGTTTAGAACAGACTTTCAAGATTCTCTTAATACCATATAGCCTACAGGTATTAAATATTCCTGGATTTCTTGCCGTGTCTGTTCCTTGACCCTGTCCACCTTGAAGAGCTGACACAACTGGACAGTAAACTCCCCAGTTACATGGACAAGCACAGCCAAGAACTTTTGTAATTCAGGGAAGGAAGGTGCTCTCTGAACTAATGTGAGAGATGGTACAGAATTTATAGCCACTCCTACTTCAAACTTTAAGCTCCTTGATCTTTCTTTTCCCACGCTCCCTTGAACTGCGGTTGAAAACAGCTGCATGTTGACATTCTCTGCTTTCTGGCTCTTAGCATCTTCCTGAGAAGCTGCAGCTTCTAACAGGATCCTGATGGAGAGAGCTGCTGGATGGACCAGGCTGGGGTTGGGTATCATTTCAGGCTTCCCCTTCTTTCTTCTCACAGCTTTCTGTATCAGTGTAATTTTTCCACCTCTTTTCTTTTTTTGGCCATTGCAGTCAGCTATTCATATGGAGAAGCTTATATTGAAATAACTCTCCTATCTTAACTCAGTACTTTTCATTCAAAGCAGCAAAGCTATCAATCGGTCTAATCAGTCCAAACCCTGAACCCTATTTTTCATGGTGTCCCCTGCACAATTCCTCTCTTCCACCCAGATCCTAATGTCATGCTTGTTGAGGAAGTCTCACTTGGCTTGGCTCCCATATTGTACTAAATCCTAATCCATTTTTTACCAGTGATAGTTCACACATCCAGCTGAATCAGAACCAGCCAAAATACAGGCTGGCTTAGGGTAAGGTGTGAACCAGGCCTCTGACAAGGAAAGGCTCTCTAGAGTTTTAGGAAACAATTACACTGTTTTGGGTGAAGACTTATATTTGAGATCTTCTTTGTGGCAAGCCACTGTTCTTCCACTGAGATGCAGATGTTTCCTGATGAGCTAGGTTAATAAATTACTTGGAAGGTTTGATAAAAAGAGAACAACCACAGGTAAATAGAGTGTAGGCTTATGTATCTCCTGATGTTTATTTCTTTGGAAATGCTCACGTCCTTTGTTTTCATATCTCCTTATGGTTTCATGGTTCTTAATAACAGAGTTCAAAAGCCAGGCTCAGCTGTTACCCAGGAGTTGATTGTAATTAGATTGTTGGTGTATATTTTTTTTGTGAGGGGATAACTTTTTCTCCTTGAAGAACATCTGTAGAAGGTGTAGGGACAAATAGTCCTCACTGGGTTCATTTAATTCAATGGTATACAACAATAAAACGTTTCATTGTGTGCGTACATATACAAGATAGAATGTTTTTTGTTGGGTTAATGTCCATCAAGGTAAGAATGTTTCCAGAACATGCAAGTTGTCTTTTGCTCACTACTGAGCGTGTTTACGCAGAAACAAGCCTTGCTGATTTCTGTGGGCCTTTTCCTCCCAAAGGAATGTGCATCAAATTGCAATTGAAGAAAAGTGGGCAGCAATGTATGATGCTACCTTACTTGCTTATTGGACCTCTTTTGCGCTAGCCATAGGGATTAAACACAGTTTTTGCTCCTCATGTGGGAGTTTACAAAATAGATTTCTTAAATCTGAGAGTTTTGCAACTGTAACGTGGCTGACTTTCCATTCATTTATCGCTATTTAAGAGAAGCAAGTCAGAAGTCTTTCATTGGGTAAGAGCTCTGCAAAGCATTGGGTGATGCAGGTTCTTTAATTGTCAAAAAGCACATTCTGATGAAATCAAGTTACAAAATTAACCCAGATGAGCAGTCATATGTTACATGATCCCTGAAAACAAGAGATGATGTCTAAGTAAATGGTTTTTGCTATCTTGAGATCTAAGCGCATTCCAACAGTACTTACAGTTGGCAGTTTTAAAATCTACCTCTGTTGTGGTAGTCCAGAAATCAGCAAACTTTTCAGGCAATGGGCATCCACAATGTATAGTGACTTGCTGTGCCTCTTAGTTAAAAAAAAAAAAAAAAAGGAAAGCTCTCAAGATCACCAAATGTCATAAGATTTCAGCTACCATACTCCTGAGATATTGTCAGCCCTTCAAGGCAGTCCAGACTAGAAGCACAAACCATGAGTACTGACACTACCTTTATTATAAGGTTACAGTAACAAAATCTTGCAAGTCTGAAAGCACCTCTTTCCTCCTTTACTTTTACTTTCCAGAAAACTAGGGAGAGTCCCTTTTGAAATGCTTCCCATGTCCCTTTTCCTTCTATGAGCTGAGATACCTTTGCGTGATGGTTGTCTAGGCTGTGGCTCTTCCTCCTGCTCTCAAGGTCATTCCCACAGACCATTACAGATATGACATTAGAACACCCAAAACCTCACAAGATTTAGCAATCTCAGTCTCAAAACATTTCTGCCATTGCCATTTTTTGGAAAAGTTAAAAATATTGAATTTTGCAGGGCTGTAAAGGCTATTGAGGGATACTGCAATTATGAAGGTGTCCTACTGCTAACTCCTGTTAGAGTCCAGACTTATTGTTTGATTCCTTGTATGTGAATGTTGCCAGAATGGTGACTATAAGTTCCTTGTGCACGCTAAATTATTATTCAGAACAATTACAAGCTATTATCATTTATCTTCAGGAGCCTCTTGGTACAAGGCAATTTGGAAAATCAGCGCTAGAAATTGTGCAGTCTTCATGTTTTCTCCTTTAATTATGTTTTTGTTTTACCTGTAGACTTTCCAAAACGTGCTGATTTGAAGGCTACGGAATCTTACGATGGGCATTATGCCTTCTTGGATTATTATTTCGAGGTCCACTCTTGCCACTTTGCCTGGAAGAGGACGCCTATATTCCAGATACGTCCTGACTCAGAATCAAGTAGCATGGAAGAGTTTGTTTGCCAGAGGTCGTTCAAATTGGTTTCTAGCGGGCTGCAGTTGCAACATCAATAATACTTTTCCTCTGAGAAAAGCGTTCCGACATACCTCCACAGAAGAAGAAGACTTCTCCTTCCATCTGACACCGTCACAGATCGATGAGGTCTTAAGGGCAAGTGAGTTGTCCTACACTGTCCCTGAGTTTGATGGGAAGAACCTCAGCTCGGTACTGAAATTTGAGTCCAACCACTTGGGAGCCAACGTGCCCATAGAAGACCGCCGAAGTGCTGCAACATGTTTGCAGACAAGGGGAATGATGTTCGGGGTCTTTGATGGCCATGCTGGCTATGCCTGTGCTCAGTCGGTTAGCGAGAGGCTGTTTTCTTACCTTGCTGTTTCTCTTCTGCCTCGGCAAACACTGGAAGAGATTGAATTGGCCATGGAGTCTATGAAGCCAGTTCTGCCCATTCTTCAGTGGCACAAGCACCCCAATGACAGCTTCTTCCATGAGGTTGCTTCCCTGTACCTGGAGCAGCTCAGAGTTTATTGGCAAGACTTACTGAACCCGTACACAGAACTTGGACTAACAATGGAAGAAGTTTTGATCAGTGCTTTTAAAAGGCTGGACTCAGACATATCATTGGAAGTTCAGGCACCTTCAGAAAATGAACTGCTGAAAAATATAGCTCTTCAGGTGGCTTTCTCGGGTGCAACTGCCTGCGTAGCTCATGTTGATCAGGTTCATCTGCACGTTGCAAATGCTGGGGACTGCAGAGTGATCCTGGGAGTTCAAAACTCGAATGGAACATGGTCTGCTTTACCCCTTACACGAGATCACAATGCTTTCAATGAGTCAGAAATCTTGCGGTTAAAAAGTGAGCACCCAGCTTCTGAAGGGGACACTCTCATTATGAACAACAGATTGCTGGGAGTCCTTATGCCCTCCAGAGCTTTTGGAGACGTCATGTTCAAGTGGAGTCAGGAGCTGCAGCAGAGTGTCCTTAAAAACCACTGCAACCTGGAGGGTTTACACATTTATGAGTATGTCCCTCCATGTTACCATACACCCCCTTATTTAACTGCTGAACCAGAGGTCACTTACCACAAAATAAGGAGGCAAGATAAATTCTTAGTTCTTGCTTCTGATGGCCTGTGGGACATGTTGAGTAATGAAGAGGTGGTCCAGCTCATTGCAAGCCATACAGTTGAACCTGATGTCCAGAAAACCCAGCTTGCTTTTAAGAAACCAACCAGTCTGGGGTATGTGCAAGACCTACTGCTTCGGAGGAAGGCCAGGACTGTCCAGCCCTGTGACCAGAACGTGGCGACCCACCTTATCCGACATGCCATTGGCACTAACGACTATGGGGAGATAGACCAAGAAAAACTTATGGCAATGTTGACTCTTCCTGATGATTTGGCACGCATGTATAGGGATGATATCACTGTTACAGTGATCTATTTTAATTCAGATGTAATTGACAGATACTACCAAGAGGATGAAGAAGGAGCCTGAGGCTTCTGAATTCTGAGAGTCAGTAGGGTTTATTTCAAATTCCTAAAAATACTCTTGTACGGGAGCCCCTGCCCATAAAATCTGTGCCCTGGCTTTGGGAGACTGAGTTTAGCTCTCTCTAAGCTTCGAATTCCTGTAAAAATCAATGCATTTTTGACTTGTAATATTATTTTTGGGCAATAATTTGATTTTAGTGGAATACTTGGGTTTTGTAGCAAATCAGGTGCCTGGGAGAGGGTGGTGCTAGTTGCTTAATGTGAAACCTAAAACAGGTAGCTAGAGATGTGTGGACTCTGAGCAGCTTGTGATGATCAACATTTCTAAAACAGATTGGCATGGCAATGGTGCTCTTCGTCTATGAGCTCTCCAAAATTGTCATCAGTGAAAAGGTTGAATAAGATGAATTATTTTATGCTAGGTGCATTTCTGAGATCGATTTGGGTTGCGGTGGGGTTGGGGATTCCAATCCATACAACCTGAGTTGTACTGAAATCCAGAGAAGCAGCTTCAAAGAAAAGTATTCTGAGCCTCTCAAAGAATTATGGCTTGTGTCCAACAGTGACCTTCTGCCAGGAAAATGTCCACCTGGGCTAGGTCAAATCCCCCAGCCCCTGGAGTTCCTTAAGATACAGCTGCTTTCATAGGATTGTGGAGGGTCATTGAAACACTTCCCTGAATGCAAATTCATTTCTGCAATGCTGAATTTTGTTTTCTGTTCCCAAGTCACCAGCAGAGATTGCCAAGTGCTTCATTGTATGATGTCAATAGGGAAGGTTTCTTTCAGCTGTTTAAACAGTGTCCGATGCGATGAGCTTTCCTCCGTAGCTTTCTGCTTGAAGCCCAGCAACCCCTTTTCTTTTCTCATCTGACGCTACAACTGTTCATATGCTGCATTAATTGCTACTTGAATACTTGCAGATAGTACTTCAGGGATTTCAAACTCTTCTTGATTGCTTCTGGTACCATAGCAAGTCTTATGTGAGTGCCTCTTGTTGTCTTAAAAAAAAAAAAGCCTCAAAAGGGATTACTAGTTGTAGCTGTGCTGTGTTCTTGAAAGGCAATTGGAAGATGTTTTATAATGCAAGGAGATAAGGATATATATGCGCCCTTGGATCAATGCACAATGTGGAAAATGAATGGCTTTGATTTCCTAGGAATGGACAGATATTGTGCTTTTTATTAACTTTGGATCTTTTTAAAGAATTTGGCATTCTGTTTGAAAGCTGGATGGAAATGAATATGTATATGGTACCAGTCACAGTGAGTAATGCACTATGTTGATGACTGTTCTCTGAAAAAGATTAGTACGCATTACTCACTGTCTGAATCATGATTCTAGGGAAGTCTACAATGCTGCATTTAATTTCCATTGAATGGTTTGCTGAATTACTCTTTGCATTCTTAAGGTAAAGGTATGGTTCCAACTCAACATAAAAACCGAACAGCCGTCTTGTATTGACAGACGGTGGAATTTTCTGTTAGGTGAGTTTCAGAGCTTTTTGAAGGACACATCTGATAGTAGACATTTTGTCACTAAAGCACAGGAGATTAAAGTCTTCAAATGACACAAAGGAAAGAGTGGGTGGGATGGAGCAACTGAATGACGCTAGACTGGTTGATTAGATTTGAAGTAGAAAAGCATTTCATCTCCCCTTTCAGTTCCAAGAATGTTGTGGTCTGCAACTTAACAGGAAAGGGGAAGAAATGGGTTAAGAAGAGCTGAGTAGTAGGAAGGAAAAAAACTTGCAACATATTGTGCTTAAAGATTTGGAAAGGGAAAAAGACTTGTTACATTTTGTTAAATTAGAAAAACATAAAGGGCTAATCATTCTGTTAGCAGCTTAAACAAAACTTTTATGTATGCTTTGGAGCACAAGTGAATTTTAGCCATAAAATATTGCTTAATACGTGAACACATCAAAGTTCTGCATTTTATAACTAATGCTGCTAAGCGTTATTGGACTGCTTCAAATGTGCAGAACAGTTTCTTTTAGCAGAGGGAGATTCCAGCGGGAGATTCCAGCGGGTTGCTAGAGCGGCCTGCTCTTTGATCTTGAACAAGGTTTTTCTTTGACCATCCATTGTCTATCATCACGCTAATAGACAGGATCACTGGGTGTCATTTTTCAAGCAAGTGGAATGTAACAAGTAATAAAGGTAACAGGACTTTTCTTTAACAAGGTTTGTTAGCAATTACTGCTTTAAAAATCATTAAATTTTTTTATTGTCAACAACTGATGGTAAAAACTGAGAGTCTTTACAATTTTTGAACAGATAGGCAAATAATACTTTGGACTGTGTCCATTCTTACTGTAGGTATTTTGCTAATTTCATATGTGGTAGGAGTTGATTACTTCTGGATCCCCTGGTACCAGGATTTGCATTGTATTTCAGGTACCCTGGACTTAGATATCCTATTAGGTACCCTAATCTGTAAAGACTGAAGGCTTTGTTTTAGTTCCTTATCAAATCTTCCTTTTCTGCCGTATCTGATCCCTTGATTCAGAGCATTTTTGTTTAATGTACTTTTCACTTTGATTATTTCAATCTTTTTATGTGCATTTATTGGCTCCCTTCGGGTCCTGTCTTTTCCAGTTGTCCTTAAGTATCCTGACGGTGCCTCATTCACCAATTTTTCTTATGGCCTTTCTTGCTCCATTCATGTTGCAGGTATTCCTATGCATTTGAGTTTTCTCCTCTCATCCTAGGTACTGTTATTTCCATTTGACAATCACCCATCAGCTCTCTTTATCCAGAGAACTTTCCTCAAACCTGCCTTAGCAAAACCATTCCAGAAGTGAGAGGAAGTACCTCTGATCTGTCGTCCTCGATTTATTGAGATTGGAGGTTGTTTCTGATACCTTAATGCAAAAAACTGCAAATCTCTATTTGATAGATTCTCAGCTAGGGAGGTACTGAGATTGAACCTGGAAATGTATGCACACAGAGCCATGTGATCTACCACAGACCTATCAAATATCAACTCAATTAGGTTGCTCCATGCTACCTTACTGTTTTCTAAATCATTCCTCGCTTCGCACGTTTCTACATTCCTGTTCTGCATAGGTTACAGAGCATCCAATATCCTAGAGTGTAAGAAATTCAGTAACATTAGACCCTTATTTTATTTAGAATAGACAAATATATCCTTGAATATTGAAGTATCAATGATAACAAAGCAGTCGGAGTGATCTTTTAAGACCAATCTCCAGAACAATGCAGGGTCTTATGGCAAGATATCTGTATTGTGTGATTAATTTCAGAGGATTTTGTACTGGAGACGTTTTCCAGAATTTTGTTCATTTTGAAGCTGGTCTGTGGCTGAGTTAAATACAGTTCAAAAATTTATGTGAAAATAGGGTCAGTAATGTCTAGAAATTATTAATCTTTATAGAATGCAGTTGCAGTATAACAGATGCATCTGCTTCAAGAGGAAGCATATTTATTTGTGCATAACGTTAATTTAACACAGTACTTCAAGCATTTTTAAATGTTAAGTTAATAAGTTAAATGAGGTAGTATTGAGATGAAGAGAACATTTATTACATGTATATACTTTTAAAAATATGTTCAAACCTTTGTTATTTTTTAAAGCTTATTGTACTTGGGAATAAAGGCATGAGTTTAGGATGAATGAAAGGGTAAGAAGCCAGTTTGCTGTTTTTCTTATGTGCAAAATAGACAATACTGGTTGTGTGCCTGGAATGAATGAAGATGAAGCACTAAATCAGATGGTCTGCTTCATTTGCAGGCTGAACTTTAAAAAAGAACTTTGAGTAATAACTGAAGGTGAGGATTTGGCCATGCACAGTGGGCCTTTTTTTCATGAATATACCATCCCTGTGATATACTCCAGTTATTGCATCCTAGTTTCATCATAGCCTTTGAACACTTCTCAAGGGCAATCTCCTCCATATCACAGTACCATAAAAATCTATATAAGTGCTCCCTCTTGTAGAAGACTCTTCAGTTATATCATGATGGTCCTTCAAGACTCTTCTATACATCCTGAATCTTGAAACAGATGTACAGTATACAGGTAGTCCTCGTTTAGCAACCACAATAGGGACCAGCAACTCAGTTGTTAAGTGAAGCAGTAACTAAGTGAAATCATGACCGTGCTTACGATCTTTACCTTTCCTTTCCTTTACAGACCTGTGAAGGTCATAAATGCAAGGATTGGTTGCAAAGTTATTTTTTGGCCATGCAACTGGCGTAACTGCGAACAGTTGCTGTCTGAGGCAGTCGCTAAACAGGACTACCTGTACAGGTATTATATACCATCAAGTGTGTCAACTGCCTTACTCATGGAACACATGTCCTACTCTCCCTACTTGTCCTGGCACTCTTCCCTCAAAATTTCAACTATTTTGATGGTTTCTTGGCTTCTGTGTGTTGTTGAGCATAACGTAATTCAAAGTTACAGCACTATCCATTTTCATTGCAAGATGCTGCTAGAGAAAAAAAAAAGCCACTATATATGTAAGCAGGGAAAAATCAAACCAGGACATTTTCTATAGAGAGCCTCAGAACTGACAACATCTGGTCAACTTTGTCTGGGCTGGGAAGCTAAGCAGGGTCAGGCCTGGTCAGTACTTGATTGGAATGCTCCAGGAATACCAGGGCTCTAAAGTAGAGTGGCAAATTTGGGGGTGGGGGTGGAAGAGGCAGTGGCAAACCAATTCCATATTCCTCTGTGTGGAAGTATCCATGAAGTCACCAGAAATCCAGCTCAACTTGAAGGATCAACGATATAAGCAAGGAGATTCAACCCAGAAAGCTTTTTATAGACTGTATTAACCCATTTATTTTAACCCCTCCTTAGCAGTGTGTCACACAATCAGTTTGTGAAATTGACCAGAGGACAGGCAATTGGCCAAGGGGAGAACAGTGGATGGAAGGAAGAAGAACCAAGTGAGTAGGAAAGGGTTTAAATCAATACATAAAAGTGCAGGAACAATGGTTTGAGCCTAAATACCTCTGTTGACTGAAAACAGGGCAAAAATAACAATATTGTATTTATTTTCAGATTTATATCCTGCCTTTATTTTGTACAACACAATAAACCCAATCAACGTACAGAAGTAACTAGAGCTTACAGTGCTATTGGCTGCAATATTCACATGGCTTTTTCTAGCATCGTGTACTTTTCCCACTTTTCCAAAAAAAAGGGGGGGCACAGTCAGAAAGCATGTTAAAGCGTTGCACTCCAATCCAGTCCCAGAAAATGTAAGCTGGAATCAATTGTACTGGCTTCTACTGGTCCCTGTTCTGCCTCTCAATGCCAGTGAGTGATGCTGCCCTTACCGGTTTCATGTGGGCCAATGAAGAAGGGCGATGGGTGTATTCCCCCAGCATCATTTCTCTCCCTGCTCTCGGGGTGGAAGGTGGGGATGGATAAGCGAAGGCAGAATGGCTGGTTTAGCCACCCATCAAGTTGTTCAACTGACCGGTCACGATGTAGCCACGTTCTGTGCTTGTTACGGTTTCTGAATTCAGGTCCAGCACTGTTCTGAAAGAGGGCTATACAGTAATACCTCGGTTCATGAACACTTCTGTTTGCGAACAGCAGCATTCGCAAAATTTTGCTTCTGTTCGCGAACTCCACATCGGGTGACGAACACGAACTGCGGCCATCTTCCCTGCTCTGACACATGGTCGTGGCTTCCTCTAGGCGAGATCGTGGTCGCAGACAGACACTTGCTATGAAGCTTTTTGGTGTCGCCTCAAACAAGGTTAGTGTTCTCTTCATACTGTACTGTACTGTACTTTGTTTCATATTTTTGTGGTTAAAAAGAAAAATACATATGGTTCAGAACAGATTAACCTTACTTACATTGAACCTTATGGGAAAATTTGATTCGGTTCACGACCAATTCAGTTCGCTACCGCATTCGTAGGGGTCAGAACAGATTAACCTTATTTACATTGAACCTTATGGGGAAATTTGATTCAGTTCGCGACCAATTCGGTTCGCATCCAGAATCATGGAACAAATTAAGTTCGTGAAC